CCTCGCTTTATTTTGTGTGGCATCAAATCCCTTCATTTATTTGTTGAGTAACACTAGAAAAGAATACATGTAGAAAGATGGCCATGTGATATCGCACTCAGTGACCTTCCGTGTGAAATTTACATAGGAACTGGATAATTGGATGCAATGCATGCTAATCTCCTCCAAGGATATCAAGATGGAACTTGATTCGAATAACTGTCGTATAGCAGCAACTAAGAAGGCAAAGACCTAAAAATGACTAGTAAAATAAACAGCTTGGAAGAAGGACAATCCTACGAATACCTCAGCCTGATAAAATGTGACAATATATTACATTAAACAATGAAATTAACGATGAAACGAAATACGCAAAGAGAATCCATCGAATCCTGAAGAGAGTTGTATGGGTAAAGCAAAATTGTTGCCAGTACCTATCAATACGAGTAGCGTTTTCAGAAGCTGAGGCTAGAACTGGATAGAAAGAAGAAAAAGCCTGGAACATCCAAAAGCAAATGCGGATAGACTACATGTCCCGTTCAAAGAAGAAGGAAGACGACTTGGTAGTATCAACGAGACACTGGAATTAGAAATACCATCTCTAAGGTATTAACTGGCAAAGAAAGTGAGTGCTAGCGGAGGGAAAGGCTGGAAAACAGCTTGAAATTCAGAAAATCATCATGAAACTGTAGAAAGTGCCGATTTAATGGTTGGCAGAACTTGACTAGCAGGAAACGGAATCCATGGCAAAGCACGAGCTCTCCTAATAGCCGTCCAAGACCACGCACTGAACATGAACCAATGCGAAATTATGCACATGCAGCCAGAAACAAAATTCTGAATGTGTCAAATGAAGGATGCGACCGTGAACCAAATAATTTCCGCCTGAGAAGGACAGTCGGCTGACCCGTGAGCTAACGAGGCGAATCATCAGTGGCAAAGTGGTGGTGAAGACATCAACCGAAATCTGTGCAAGTGAACAGCAGGTGAAAATGCACTGAGAGAAAAAAATCTACTCATCGTCGAAATATCGCGAAAGGGTGGGCACAAATCCTTGACATTGCATGCCCCCCTGATTCCAATGTTGTTGTTAAGGGAAGTGAAAAGTTACTGAAATAGCAAGGATTGAGGATCGAAATACAAAAGTTCTGGAGAGTAAACTCGGAAGTTATTCCTGCGGTGATCGATGCCTCGGAGCAGTTAAAATAGACAACCAGTCCATAACGAAACGATCATGGTGAGTGAACTGCAGAATGCGAATGCGACCTACCAGGAATTGCAAGGACTATAAGGAAAGCATTTTAGCTCCTTAACCCCTAGTGGATTAAGGATTCAGGGATTCGTGCAGAAGTTTTGTTCGTTTCACTCATGCTATATTTCATGGGCTGTGACTGAAACAACAAGTAAAAATTTTAATGTACTTAAATCTAGTGCCTTGATCTCCTAGCAACTTTTTCTGGAAGATGCACGTATTACTGAAAGACTATGTTTATTCGCAATGTTTGCCACTAAGCTATTACAGAGGAAGA